CCAACAGCCCTGCATCTAAAATGGTTGACTGAGAAGCCAATATGGATCAAACAATGGCCTTTAGCTGAGGAAAAGTTGCAGGCTTTAGAACATCTGACACAAGAGTAATTAGTGCTCGACATATAGAAGAATCTACCAGCCCTTGGAATTCTCCTGTATTTGTTGTTAAGAAAAAATCTGGTAAATGGAGAATGGTGACAGAACTTAGGGCTATCAACAAGGTTATTCAACCTATGGGCCCTCTGCAATCTGGAATTCCTCTGCCCTCTCTGTTGCCAAAGGGAGGGCCTCTCTTAGTTATTGATTTAAAGGATTGTTCCTTCACTATACCTTTACAAGAAAAGTTTGCCTTCACAGTGCCTACTTATAATAACTGTAAGCCTACCAGGAGGTACCAGTGAACTGTCCACCCACAAGGTATGTTAAATAGCCCCACCTTGTGTCAATATTTTGTAAGTCAACCATTCGAAATAATACACAAGTGATTTCTTAAGTCTATAATTTACCATTACATGGATGATATTTTGTTATCTGATTCAAACATAGATACCTTAGAAAGACTATTTGAAGAAATAAAGATAGTTTCACCTAAATTGGAATTGCAGATTGCTCCTGAAAAAATACAGAGAGGAGATTCTGTCAATTATCTAGGTTATAAAATAGGTTTACAAGAAATTAAGACACAAAAGGCACAAATTAGGAGAGATTGGTTAAGGACTCTTAATCACTTTCAAAGATTGTTAGGAGACATCTCTAGGCCACAACCGGCTGTTGGGATAACACCTGATCTAATAATTCATTTAAACAAAACCTTGGATGGTGATAAAGACTTGAATAGTCCCAGAGGATTAACAGCTGTAGCTGAAAAGGAACTGACAATGGTTGAAGAAAAATTACAGGAGGCACATATGGACAGAGTGAATCCAAAGCTTAGTTGTATTCTTGTCATATTGCCTTCCAGAATTTCTCCTACAGGAATCTTAATGCAGAGAGATGATATTATCTTGGAATGGATCTTTTTACCACATAAACCAAGTAAAAAATTAAAAACTTATGTGGAAAAAGTCTCTGAATTAATTATAAAATGTAAATTGAGACTTTGTCAACTAGCAGGCAAAGACCCAGCAGAAATTATAGTGCCTTTCTCCAATGATGAGATAAAAAAGTTATGGGAAAACAATGAACCATGGCAAAGAGCTTGTGCTATTTTTGGGAGAAATTAATAACAACTATCCCAAAAGCAATAGGCTTAACTTTATAAAGAGAAATTCTTGGATTCTTCCTCAAATCATCCATGATGCTCTAATAGCTGGAGCCTGAACATTTTATACTGATGCTAATAAATCAGGGAAGGCAGGTTACAAATCAGAAGAATTGAGTAAGGTGGAACAAAGCCCTTACGATTCTGTCCAGAAGGCAGAATTATATGCCATTCTTATGGTGCTAAGGGATTTTAAAGAACCTCTTAATGTAGTTACTGACTCGCAATATGCAGAAAGAGTTATCTTGCATATTGGAACCGCTGAATTTATACCAGATGATACAGAACTGACTTCATTATTTATCCAGGTACAAGACATGATCAGGAACAGGCTTTGCCCTATGTACATAACACACATCTGATCCCATACGGGTCTGCCAGGTCCTCTAGCACCAAGTAATGCAGACATTGATCAATTGTTGATTGGAAGTGTGCTGCAGGCCTCTGAATTTCATAAAAAAACATTACATCAATAGCAAAGGCTTGAAGAAAGAGTTTTCTATTATGTGGCAACAAGCTAAGGAAATTATAAAGAAATGCCCTACTTGCTCTTTCTATAATCAAACACCACTGCCTGCAGGGACCAACCCAAAGGGTACTCAAAGGAATGAAATCTCACAGATGGATGCGTTCCACTTTGTGGAATTTAGCAAATTAAAATATGTACACCACACCATTGACACCTATTCAGGTTTTCAATGGCCAACTGCTTTAAGCTCAGAAAAAGTTGATTTAGTAATCACTCATTTATTAGAAGTCATGTCCATCATGGGTATACCTGCACAAATAAAGACAGCTAATGGTCCAGCTTATGTCTCTAGGAAAATGAAATGATTTTTTTCCTTATTATAATATTAAGCATGTTACAGGTATACCATACAATCCTACAGATCAAGCAGTCATAGAAAGATCAAATCAAACTATAAAGGATATGTTAAACAAACAGAAAGGGATGTAAAATACCCCCAGAAATAGGTTACATAATGCTTTATTAACTTTGAATTTTCTCAGTGCTAATGAGAATGGGACAATGGCTGCAGAAAGACACTGGATAATGGAAAAGTCTGCTGAATTTAATCAACCAGTTTATTTCAAGGATGTGCTGACCTCGCAATGGAAACCAGGAAATGTGCTGCACTGGGGAAGGGGTTTTTCTCTTGTTTCCACAGGAGAAGAAAAATTGTGGAAATCATCAAAATTAATAAAGGTTCAGTTTGAAGAGGAGGAATGTCTTGGAAAGGATAAAACAATTCATCCACAATGATGACAATTATACCGATGGTAAGAAAAGCATATAGGATGGGGGCAGGTTCTCTTCTTATCTCCGCAAGTAAACACTCATTTTCAAAGAATTCAAAGGACCCTGGATGTTTGAATTCTGACAGATGGAAACTATTTACAACCCAATATGGATCAGCAATAACACTGAATAGGTCTAGTAGTAAAATTATTATACACATATTTTTAAGTATGTATTAATGTACATTTATTTATAAATATATAGAGCTGGTTTTGGGGTTGGACTCTGGCTCAATCCCTCTCTAATTCCAAGCCTATTGGTAAGAGATATCCCAGAGTTTCTGTTTCATGTCAAGAGCTATGATATGGGACATCATCATCATCATCATCATCATCATCATCGTAATAATAATAATATTTTATAAACTTTCTTTGCCTTTTCTCATATCTGTTTCTGTCTTTATTGTATCTTTCTTCAAATTGTCTGTATATGTCTATAGATAATGCTTAAGTTTTCCATAAGAAACATTAAATTTTCTGCAGTAATTTTAGAAGTTTCTAGAATGAAGATGGGGCCCCACAACATTGACTCCACCTGGTTAATATAACGTCATGATGTTGATAGTGCTACTATTAGACCTTTTTTTTTGGTACCAGCTGCACAAGACAGTTCCAAATGGTGCACATCTTTGGCAACATTCTGCCTGGACCTCCTCAGAACACTCAAAGACTATTTGCAATTTTCCCAGACAAAATATCGATCTTGGAATTTTACCATAATTTACTTTCACAGGACCCCCTAAGAAGAACATTGCCCCCATGACAGCTGAAAGCAATCTTAGAGGACGACGTCCCCTCTCCCAGCAGCATTTGCCCTCAGGTTTAGGGCCATCATTTAGGGATTGGTTATATTTGGCATAGGGTTGAGGGATAGGAGAGGTATTTTATAGGCTCAAGGGTGTTCTTGAAAAAAAAAAAGGGGGATAATTGGTAATGGGATAATAGATTGGTATCTGTGAATTATTGTTTTTAGAAAATTATATTGGTATCGATTCTTGTATATTGACACAAAGTTAAATTATAATGAATATTGTATGTGAGTATGCTTCTACCTCTGTTTAAAACATTTTTATGTATTGATATACATATATATAGTATTGATATATATATTTACCATATTGCAGTGTATATTTCTACCTCTGATTAAGATACTTATATATTGTTTATGTAATGATATGCATTGTTTACATTTGGAGGTCATTGTCCTCATTTATTGCACAGTTGTTTATTCTCTTATTCTTCAAGTTAGATAGGTATCGAGAATTATAAATCAATAGTTATATACGTTTGTTATATTCATATTTCTTTAGATACATAGAGATTATATTTAGTATAGATAGTATAATCTTCAACCTCTTCAAAGAGCTATAGAAAATGGCCTTTAATCTAACCTAGAGTTCTGCGGTAGTGAGACACAATCACTCCTGGCAACACCGCTCTACTGCCGAGAGAATGTTGAGCACCAAAGACACTCCAATTGGAGCTTGTCTTCTTCTTGGCAGAACCGGCCTTTGGGCAAAGAAAAGCCCATACCTTGACCACTGACAGAGATACAGAGTATCCGTAAATGGATAAAAACAGGATTGTCTTATTCTGCCAATACAGGGTAAGATAGTTCCAAAAAGTTTCTTGACTTTGAAAATGGTATGTCAATTACGTTAGGCCTTAGCCAAAGTTGGTTGCCTCAACATTGCAAATGAAACTTTGGTTGATTGCCCAGGTAGTCAGTTGTCTCTATCATTTGTTGCACATTTTGGAAGTTTCTCTTTGGTACTTCCTGGTTGCTCAAGTAATATTACTTCCCTTCTCAGATTTTTGATGGAGTTGAAGATTAGATAATTGTAATTGCCCTCTTCATGATTTAGCTAAACTTAATTTCAATACATTATTTAGACTCCTTGAAATAGAATGCTTAGTAAAACTTTTGTTATTTGTTTCTTGCTTAATATTGTTTGTTACTTGTAATTTTATATTTAGTATCTGTTCCTATTATATATAATTGTATTGGGTTTGGTTCAATCTCGTTTAGACAAAAGGGGGGATGGTGGGGAAGTTCAGCCAATCACATTTGGCTGGGGTGTGGTCGCCTGGGTCCAGGAAGAAGGACCTGGGAATCCAGGTGCCCGCCCATTGTTTACTCGCTCTCCTGGATGCCCATGGTGCTCGCTGGACCACGGTCATGTAAGTTTTCTCTGTTTTCCAATTATTAAATTATATTACTTGTTTTTGAGCTGGTCTGGTTAATTCTAACAGTCGGTCGATCACGCCCATCAAGGGTTGGGCATTTATAAGTAATAACAAGACTGTGATATTCTTTTGGGAGCTGGATGGCAGACACCCCAAAAGAGCCTAAGAGTAAAGAAACAACCAACTATTCTATCTTAGTTTCTTTCCCTCAAGACATAATGTAGTTCGAACATCAGTTTTTTTTTTTAAACATTTATGCTGGTGTATTTGTATGCTTTTTAAAAAGTGTTACTGGTGATTGTATAACATTCTTGGAAGAGTTCTTTCTTTTCTTTTGGTCACCCATAATGGGCAGGGTTTCAGTGACCTGAACTTTCTGAAGCATGTTCATATTGTCCTAGAGAGCAAGCACACAAAAGACTCAAGGATATGGAGCAAGTTTAGAACTGTAGGCAGTAGGCATCACTAGATACCCCTTTTATTTCTCCCTCATTATCTCCTGTGCCCTGATGTGGCACAAAGCTATGACTGCTTTACTAGGGAAAATGTGGAAATATTCAGAGAGACATAAGGAAGGAAATTATAAATGAATATGATCAGGACACAAGCTTGCCTACATTGTGCTGCATTTCCTTAAGGAATGGAGAGCATGGTGGATCTACTTCAGTTAAGCTTATGACAACCAGGGCTTTTATTTCAGAACAAGGAGCTTGTCATAAGTAGTACCATGGCTGAATGGGGAAGATACTGAGTTGGAGTACGCAGGCAGTGACTGGCACATTGTTCATGGGTATCAATGAGACCGTTTAGTACAGTGGCCAAGGGACAGGCCAATGTTTGTTATCATATGTGATAATTTTCATTTATGGCTACAGGAAACTTACTTGCAGGGCAGCGTAAGATGGTGTTTGACCAAACACCAGGGTTTCTGATGCCTGATCCCCAGGATTGATAGTCATCCTGATAGGGATTATCTTGGTAAATTATTACCATCACTAAAAAAACTAATCATTTTATTCAAAACCCACTTATTGCAAAACTCAAGGCTTAGGACGACAATAGACAGATGGTAACATGCAAAAAGAGTAATTTATTAGTGCAAGACGTTGGAGCCTTCACATTGGGCAAGGAAAGTCAGCGTATCCGGGAGAAGCAATGGAGTCCAGAAATTACTTCATTATTGCTTGAAACCACAATATACTAAAATTTGTGTCTGGAAATAAACAGAAAGCGAGAGAAGAAAGGTAAGCAAGTCAGGCAGTGCCTGGAGAAGAAATGTTAACAAACTTGTGCTCCATGAGAGAGCACTTTGGAAAGATGGGCAAAGTGTGCTTGGGGAAATTTCTGATTTGTTCTGGGGAAATTACATCAAATAATGCACATGAATGGAAACTCTTTCAAATTCAGGCAAATGCACTCTGAATGGGTTCAACAGTGTGGCTCAAGCCCCTCTGTCTCTGTGATCAGGAGGGTTACAGAACAGATCACAGCTCCCAGGTATAACTCCCTCTGATGATTTAGAATTGTGAACTCTATCTTCAGATCAATGGAATAACCAGGGGGGGACCCAGAACAGAAGTGGGTAAGAAGTACTGGGAACAGTCAGTTCACAGACTCCTGGCAGGGCCAGCAAAGTTGGCAGAGAAATGCATCCTGCCTATATTTTGCTCTTAAGGAGGTTGTCTCTAGTTCCCTTTCCCCCTCTGTGTGATTTTCATCCACCAACACTCCCCACAGCATTGGATAGAGATAATATCCACTCATTGTGCAGATGCCAGCTTCAGCAAAGTTCCCAGTGGATTGACAATAGAGTTAGCCCTGAATCCTCCTTTTTTTAGGGATCCATTTGTCCCTGTTAGGGTGCCTTGGGAGTGTTGTATCCAGGGTGGAACTCTAGAAGGAGGCACCTAAGCCAGGCACTGTTTATAATTCAAATCTGTAGTGTATGCCTGAAACAGCCTACAGTTGGTGACCTATAATTCCAGTGCCTCACCCCATCCATGTGTTCCCCATAGAATGTTCGGTCAACTTTATTAGTGGCCTTCTGAGTGTGTAAAGCAAAGTGAACATACCAATACACCTGCTACGCTAACTCTTTCTACGTAGCTCAGTTTGCTGTCTACACATCGCTTCACTTGCAATTTTGCTTCAACAGCCTCTGGAGGTGCATCGTATCTCCCAAGTTCTTTCTTCAGTGCTTTCTCACTGAACAGTAGGAAGGTGGAGCATGCACGCTTAACTGCTAAACAAACTGGGGCGGCATTAGCTGGAGAGAGTAAGGAGAAAGAATCCAGTTAGTCAAAATTACTGTGCATATTTAATTAATTATTTTTGCATGAGTCTCTTTGACTTAGGGCTGCAGACTGGACAGGATAACCAGTATTATGGCTCCCTCCTATGACAACACTGAAGCAAGATAGCGTGACTTCCTCAAGATCACACAGCAAGGGACTGAGGAAAGAGTATTATTGACTCGGTCTCTGTTTCTGTTGACACTCACAACTTCCAAACCTTCTATGGCTGCAGAACTTCCCTTTCATAGCATTAAAATTTGGAGTTTTGACTGCATCTTCAGTAGTATTTTCATGAGTCTTCGACAGTTGCTAAAAGGAATTTTTGTGTCATCTAATTTTCACATAAATAACAGAGCTAGAATTTTAAAAGAGATGGGAAAATTAAAAACCAAGCAGAGTGTTTATGTGTCGAAAGGTCACAATTTGAAATTGATGAAATTAGGTCATGCAGCAAGGTAAAAATCTAATGTAATGTTACAAAAGTTGTTAATTTTTTTATTCAGATAGGGTTTCTTTTTGTAGCTCTGACTGTCCTGGAACTCGATGTGTAGATCAGGCTGGCACTGAACTCAGAGATCTGCTTGCTTCTCTCTCCAAGTGCTGAGATTAAAGACCTGCACCACCACCTAACTGAGTTGATCAGTTTTGTTACACAAAAGAGTATAATTAGGAAACTATGAAAAGCTTTGTCCTTCTAAAGCAATGCTCAGATTTACTTTTAGGGAGGCTGACAAGGGAAGCTGACACCTACCTTATGGTTTCTAAAGATCTATGATGAATATTTGGGTAGAACTGAAGAAATCAACTTTCCTAATCTAGGTTCCACATTCTTTTCAACACTCTTTAAAAACCAAATCAACAATAGTAACACAAACCTCACCCATCTCCAGAGGTGGCCTGGGCCGGTCTCAGACCAAAGTTCCTTGTTTCAGCTTCACCTAACTTGGATCACTGGGATGAGTCACCAGACTCAGTTTATCCAAGGACATGACAATGCTAGCCTTAGGAAGTGCCCAAAGAGCATCTGATGTGGGCCTAAAGCAGGTCCCATCAGTCTGTAGGGATGTGCTGTAGACTATCGGAGGAGGGATATTTGGGCAGACAGGAGGAGATGCAGAAAAGAACAAGAGAAACTGCCCATGAAACTTGGTTCCCATTGAAGGTACAGAGCATGTAGGAATGTTCTGTTTACAAACAAATGGAATGTTTACAAAAAATTAGTTATTTTTGGAAAAATAGACATTTTAGTGGTAATGACTGTGCTGTTTTAATCCCTGTTATTGTAGGATCCCCAGAAAACTGATCGGACTACATGAGTCTCATTGAGTTGAATGTCTAGTGGAGGGATTTGAGATGTATTACTCACAGACTGGGAGAATACTGACTGTGAATAGAGCTCTCTGAAGTCACATTCCCAGATACAATGACAATAAACTGAAAAATAGCACAACCAACACAATCCCTCTAATAAAAACCTTTCCTGAATTTTGTTTCTAATGGCCTTCTTGTCCCTGCCACCCCTACCCCATCAAACTTCCTAAATAGGAGGAAATTAGTTGAAAGTATCTGGGCTTTTAGGAGGGCTAAAAAAAGAGGTTGGGAGAAGCTTTAGATTGTCTTTTCCTGACCTCAACCTTATCACACATAAACTTACCAACTGTTCAAAGAGGTCAACTTTCTAGGAACTTTGATTGGATTGATCATAAATGATACTCACCTTCATAGCAACAAACAGCCAGGACGACCAGGAGAAGACACAGGAACAGCCTCATGCTTCTCAGTTTGTTTGAAGGGTTAGCAACAGTGAGCAAATGGACTCTACCTGAGCCCATGGAGACCAGGGTTATTAAATGTGGTGAGCCTTTCTGGTCCCGCCCTTCAGACAGCTCACAAGACCTGCATCAGTGAGGGCTGATCCCCTCACCTCCCTCCATTCTGTTTGGCTGGATCCCAGGAGAATAGCCTCATGGAAACTTTACTGCTCCTTCAGTTGACCTTTCACATCCCCAGAAAGCAATTTATGAAGTTTCAGTTTACTTTTGAGCTTTTGATTATTACACTTGAGTTCCCTTCTTCTCAACAGGAACAAGTGGCTTCTGACAACAGGATGGCATTCACTAGGACACAGAACCTCCAAAAACCAGCTTTGCATTTGGACTTGACAACATTTCCTCAAAACTAGCATATAACTACATCAAAATATCAAGAAGACCTGACAGAAATAACCTCAATGCACTGGGAAAAAAAACAAAGTAGACTCCAAATTAGTTAAGGAAAGAAACATTGAATAAAAGAAACTAAAAATATAGAGCAGAAACATAGAAAACCAAAGAAACAAAGACACAGGTCTTGGAAGCTATGAAAAACCAGAGAAATGCACATCTAGACTAGGGTAGAAAATGAAAAAATATGAAATGGAAAGAGAGAAATTGCCAATTATATCACAGAAAGGAAACAAAGATTGGCAAGGGTCCTTATGATCAACTTCATCCCAACCAATGTGACAGAATACAGGAGCACTTTCTGGACATATTTATCCTATCAAGATGGAATCATGAAGAATTTTCAGAAATGTAAATGGACAATAATTTGTGAATGGAGTCTGTATGTAGCAAAAATCCACAAACCAAGAATAATAAGACCAGAACAAAATCCTTTACTGCCGAATTCCATCAAATATTTAGAGAACTAATATTATTCATTACTATTTTTTCCCCAAAACTGCATTGTAGGGAATTTTTCCTAAACAATCATGTAAACTCAGCAAGAACCTATTTATGGGCTGGCAACATAGCTCAGTGAATAAAGGTGCTTGCCACCAAGCCTACTGACCTGAGTTAATCCTCGTGGTCCCCATCATGAAAGGAGAGAACTGCCTCCCACTGATTGCCCTCTTATCATCACGTGCTTGTCCAGATACATGCATGCCCATGCATACACATACACAAAAATATAAGTCATGTAATAATATTTTTTCTGGTTTTCTGAGACAAGACTTCTCTGTATAAAAGTTCTGGCTGTTCAGGAGCTCACTTTGTAGACTAGGCTAGACTTGAACTCACAGATATCCACCTGCTTCTGCCTCCTGAGTCCTTGGTTTAAAGGTGTGTTTCACCACTGCCTGACAAGAATAATTTTTAAAATTAAGTATCAAAACATGAACTGAATTGAGTATTCAAAATGTGACTCAATATATAAAGACTGCTTATAATAAGTAAAGGACATCCTGTAACACAGTGTGTCTACTTTCTCAGTGGATTCAAAATGTAGAAGTCCTATCCAAAACAATTATACATAGAAATGTCATAGGCAGTCATAATGGAATGCTGTCAGGGTCTGAGGATGCCATGATCTTATATCTAGAAAATACAAATAATCTACCAAAACCAGTTAAAATTTATACATCAACTGAGGAGGACTCTCAGTTACAAACCAGCTCATAAAGCAGCAGTGTGCAAGTGTCAGTCAAAGGACAACTGTGTCAGTTCTTTCCTTCTAAGGTCTGTGCCTCAGGTATTGAGCTTATGTGGTCAGTTATGGCCACAAATACGTTTATGCACCAAGTCATATCGCTGTCCCCACTTATTTATTTTAAATGAAAATAAATTAGTAACCGCAAGGACCAACAGTTTTGGAGATATAATGACAAGCATATTGCCTGCCATCTCTGCAAGGTTTATTTATTTATTAGGTGCTGGGACAACCACTTTATCTCTGAACTACTGATAAGTGTTCTGTGACATTTCATGTGGTCAGTTCTACTCTTGTGTCAGTACTTGAGGTCTTCCAGGAGTCTGGGAGCAGGACAGCCATGACTGTTACTCCACACCTTATTTCTTTCCTAAGACTCTGGCTCTCTTTGAACAGAATCTGTGACTGAATCATCTTTGCAATGTGGTTTTAGAGCAGCTGAGACATAAAGCTGCCCCACACATGTGAAAGAAGCTGGACACCTGCCATTTCTGACCTCCATTTGGAAGCCTGAGACAAGTCGCTTCTGGAGAGAGAAAAATTCAGACCAGAAGCACAAGTGCCCTGGTCTTTGTGTCTTCTCTCTTTGACTATTAAACAGCTTCACAAACAAGCTTTTTCTATACCCAGTGACCATTGTTCACTCTCCAGAGAATGGCCTCCACAAAATATCCAAGTAAAAATGAAGTTACAGTCCCTTCAGCGTAGAGTGAGACATTTTTAGAAATGAAAATCATTTAAGTGTCTTCCAGCCCAACAGGTGCCAGGGTAGGGACATAAGTCTGGGACACTAGGTGGAGCTCCTCTACATCTTGGCAAAGGATGGAGTGTTCCATTTACTTCTCAAGGCCTTTACTTGACTGGAGACTGAAGTTTTGGCCTTAGGCAACCAGCTGTGAGTCCCCGTGAACGAGAGCTCATGTGCACTCTCTGGAGAAGTCAGCTTTGTTCTTGGCAGCTTGTTCTGCCGACTGATGGAAAGAACAGCATCGTTAGTCGTCACACAGCAAAGCACACTCATGGATAATCAGAACATGCACTCCTTCCTGGTACTCCCACTTATTTCTGTTGTTTTAATTCTTTAGTATATCAGCCAACTATTCTTTTCTTGTTCCTTGATCCTTCAACTTTCCGCTTGTCCTTAATTGATCTAGGTTTTCAGACACAAGATTTTTGTCTTGTCACTCTCTTACTCTCTTTTGTACACGTCCGTTTCCTTACTTGACCTTGGTGAGTAGCAACTGTCCTTGGGCCCCTGAACTTTTCCCAATGATCAACCCCATTGCTGAAATCATCATGTTGGATATTTTTTAAGTGTCAAATATGTCACTATTTTTATTTTCATTGAAAGAAGTGTCCTGTGAGCTAAAATTAGGCATGAGCTACATTTCCCACTTTTACATAAACTTGAAGCACAGAACATAACAAAATTTTGTACTTTATTTCTTTTAAAAAAATTTCCCTTAAATTCCTCTTGGACAATTTCATAGATGTATGTAATGCTTTCTGCTTGGCTTCCTTCACATACTTTCTTGTCTCCCTCACACTTCTGTCTTTCTTCTTCGCCACAAGACCCTCTCCTGCTTTCATGCCCTATGGTTTTGTTTTGGGAACCACTTAGTTGAGCCAGGACTGTCTATGTGAGCAGGGTTTTCAGTGACAGCAGTCTTTTAGGGAAAATCCTTTTCAAGGTCTGTGTCATTTAATATGTTCCAGCAGTCAAACAGTTTTGTGATTTATGTTAAAGTTTTTTTTATTCATTTGGAAGCATCTTTTGTGCATGAAAGGGAATCCTTATTTGCAGATTTCATGATTCTTTATTTCAAACGTCCTGAGGACTCTACCAGAAAATGCTTAGATCTGATAAAACAGATAAAACTCTTAGATCTGCAAAGTAGCAGAATATAAAATTAACACATAAAAGTCAGTAGCATTCCTATAATGACAATATACGGAGAAACAAATTATTGAAATAATCCCACCCACAGCATATGCTCAAAAACATTGAAAGAACTTACAAATAAGAAATATCATGGCAGGACAGTGTTGGTATAGGTCTTTAATCCTAATATGCGGGAGCAGAGGCAGGTGGATCATTGTGAGGTCAAGGCCAGGCTGATCTACAAGAACTAGTTCCAGGACAGCTAGGGCCGTTACACAGAGAAATCTTCTCTAGAAAACACAACAAAACAATCACAGAAAACAAAATAAAAAAATGACACAGTGAAATTAACCAGGTCCAAAGTCTACACATTTCAATATATTCCCATATAGTAACACTAGCTATTCTGAGGCTCTGCAACTTCAAACTAGATTTTACACGAAGAAGAATCAGGCTCCTATACATTTTTATGATTCAACTCTCATTTACCAGTGTTATGTCATTCCTCATTCCCTAATATTGATCCTTTCAGGCTCACTGTTTCTTTGGTGTTTCACTTTAAAGATATAAAACCCCTCGGAATATTTAAGAAAACTATGTTTTGACTCTGAGCCTGGGCTGTGGGCTCAGCCGGGCAGGGGCAGTTCCTGTGCTTTGAGAGCCTGCCTGACAGGCAGGCCCTGAATCACCTCAGCCACATTCCTGGCCAGCAAGAGACAGTCATCTTCTAGCAGACATCCATTGGAGGAGGGGTGAGTTGCTCCTGGCCCGAGGGCTTCGGCTAGGAGGAATTCAGACTTTCCCAACCCCCCTCGACTTTCTGGTCGCCCTGCAGTGGTGGCTATACTCTGCTGAGCTCTCCCGAATCCCATCCCAGTCCTCATCCAGGTACACCTCCTTTTCTTTCTCCCTTCCCCCTGGGGCCACAAGATCTCCCCAGAGCTGCTACCTTGTGCACTGGGCCGGGGCTGTGAGTGCAACCTGGCAAGAGGGAGTGCCTGTGTTTCAATAGACTGCCTGAAGAAAGGTAGACATTCTGTCAGTGAAGTCCCTGCCCAACAAGGGAACCTGACCTGGTACCTGAAGATCCAATATAGAGCAGTTGAAGGAAAAGATGGGCAGACGCCAAGGCAAGAACTCCTCCAACAATCTAAAAAACAACATGAAATCACCAGATCCCAATGACCCTACAATAGAAGGACTTGAACCTCTTAATTCAGAAGAATTGGAAAAAAATGCCATGATGAAAGCAATAGAGTCCCTTAAACAGGATATGAATAATTCCCTTAAAGAACTGGATGAGAAGTACAACAAAAGGATTGAAGAAATGAGTAAAGAAATGGATGAGAAGTATAACAAAAAGTTTGAAGAAATGAATAAATCCGTGAACGAAACACTGGGAAACCATGAAAAAACAAT